CACGGGCAGGGGCAGGCCTGAGGCGGGGGCTCCGCCCAGGGAGCGCAGAGCCGGGCGGGCGCTGCCCTGACAAGGAGCCCCCAGAGCCAGCTTCGCCGGGGGGTGCTCTCAGCCTCGCACCGCTTCAGTGAGAGGCCGCCCCGGTCTGGCTGTGCATGCTGAGTCCAGTTAAAGCAGCCGGCTGAACGGCCTGGTCCTGCAGCAGGCTGGGAGCGAGCGCTCGGCTCTGAGGGTGGAAGAGTGAGTGAGATGCGGGCAAAGCTGTATTTAATCTCTAAGGAGGGAGGAGACGGCGCCATGGCAGGGTCACCAGGCAGAGCAGTGCTTGTCCAACTGGAATAGAGTCACTCAATGGAAAGGACTGGAAGCCGAAGGACCAGATCTGGAGAGCCATGTAGATCCCACTGAAACCAGCACCTTTGATGTTTAAATGCCTCAATGTAAGCTGGGTGTTGAAATGGAAAGTGTAAAACCCCTGTGGTGTGTCCTAAGGGTTATACTAACAGAATTATTAATGAGATTGCCAGAGTGGCTTCCTGGCTGGAGAGTGGCTGCTGTAGTGTACGCATCTAAACTCCCGTACTGGAGCACCACCCTTTCAAGGGCAGCATTGGCATCAGTTTCAGGAAATTGCTTTCCCCTGCTGAGCTAAGCTTTTGCCGGCAGGATAGATATGTGAAACAATTTTAAACAATAACAAAGTAGATCATGTCTTCCTCTTCCTGTGTGTATCTGCAGTCCTGTGAGCAGCCTGAACAAAAGTGATACTTTTGAAGGGAATGTAATAGAGTCGTGTCAGGGTCTACAGTCAGCTGGAACGAGTGGTGGGAGGTGGTGAACCCCCCACACTCCTACTAATCTCAAGGGCACAGTAATTGAAGCTTGCTAAGGATGCTACTATTGCTGTTATCAATTTCATTGTGATTATTTCAACACAGGGTGTGGAAATGAAACCTGCGTGGGTGCACACTCACTGAAAGAAGAGAAAGGCAAAAGTCTTCTGGAAAGTAAGGATCAGATGATCAAGAGAGAAGGACAAGAGATGGAAGAAGGTGAAAATACTCACAAATAATACCGATATACTTGTTTTTCCAGAGACTGATGCCACATGTAATAAGTGGCTGAAACCAAGTAAGATATAAAAGATTACTAAGCTGTCTGTATTTAGAGAATTTGGCCATCTCCACAACAGAGGGAGGTTGACTAGGGCTTGAGGGATGGTTGGGAGTGATCACACATACAAGTACCTATATCAGGAAGCAAGCTTCAGCAGGATCTAGTTCCTCCTGCTCCTGTTCAATAAACACACTGTGAGTATGAAACAGACCTTTTTTTTTTGAACCATGAGCTGGGTGGCGAGGCCAGATGACATCAGGGGAGTACATACAGCTTTGCAATTAGGTTTTTTTTTTTTTAAATAAGTCGTCTCTGCTTTTATGTAATCTAATCCTTGACAAGCACAAACTATTTACTTAGTGCTATCAGGTTGGTATATATTTGAAGAATCCAATCAACATTAAACTTCTAGTAACACCCGCCCCTGTTTCAGTTAATCTCTTGTAATATCCTCCAGTCAGCTCTGAGACCTGAAAGAACTTGTTTTTCTGTTTTTTTCATCTCCTTTGTTTTATCCTAATTGCTTAGACTAACTTCGCTGAGATATGACCTTGGCTGCAAAGTGTCTTTAGCTTAGACAGTCTCCTTAGTGAAGCTGTTTGGTAAAGGAGATGAGGACAGTCCTAGCAGAACTGAAATCTGCAGTTCTAAATGTTCGTACTCAGATCACAACAATTACTAATGGAGATGGGAGAGCAAAATAGCGACAATATTTTAGTTCCTTTTGTTCTTATTGGAGGGAAAAAAATGCAGTTAAATGTTCTTTTTTTTTTTTTTTTTTCTCCTCTTATCATCTGTTGTGCTTTTCTCAGTTGGAAACAAAAATATCAGCACCACATGACTGATTGGGCTTTTGCAAACCCAGCTTTGGGAATCCTTTTCCTGCAGGATAAAAGAGAAAACAGATCAAATTAGATTTCATTCTTCCATATGTTGCAACTGTATTACAAATATTTCAGAGTTCTCTTTTTTTTCCCTTCTCCTTAAAGCCTCTCATTTTAGGCATCAGGTGAATCTGTGAGAATTTCATGCACTCATTCAAAAAGATCTATTTGGTTCTGCTCTTCAAAATCACTAAGGAAATCTTCAATCTATGAGCAAAGCTTAACCTAAGTTCTGAAACCTATGGAAAATAAGTGCCCACAATTATAATTTTTTAAAAAATTTCATTATTTTTAAACCAGTCTTAGGCGTTTGAAAGATTTTAGTCATGCTTTTAAAATGCTTTGACCTGAAATAACACTCACAATGCTCTAACCATCCTTTCAACTCTGCCAATGCGGTTTACAGTGGGTCAGACCCTGAATTTTCAATGGTACAGAATTGTACTGTAGCATTTTATTCTCCTTTAGAAATGTTACAGGACCATGAAACTAGAAAAGTCAGACACCTTGCAAAAGCAGAAAATTAAGATGGTATCATTCTGTGAGTGCAGTGAGCATTCTTTTCAAAATAAAATCAGAGATTCAGGCTGGGCTGTGGTGATATTGCATGCCCTGGTCCAGCTTGAACTGAGGTTTTCACATACCTAACTAATGTACTAATTACCTGGTCTGATTTGCCTTAACAGCTGTTGAGAAATGGATTTTTGACGTGCCCCTCAGCTCTGACAAGCTGTTATCCCCACTAAGGTGGACTTACCAGGACTGCTCCAGCTGCACAAAGTATTTGTCAGATTTTGGTGAGAAAATCAGGTTTTGATGGTACTTTGTCACATTTCATACAGCCACTTGGGCAGCTGAAATCTGTTCTGTCATGCTGCATCAGCTGCAATAAAGCTTCATTCACTGGGCTTCAGCGTGCTTCTCACATGGTGTAAAAGGGGGCATCAAGAAAGCAGGACTGCGCCGTTGGCACTTCAAGCTGAGTTTGCCCCAATGTGTTTCCATAGTTGATGCGCTGACAAGGAGTAACCCAGTCTTCCAGAAGCTTGTGTTGTTGCATACCTGGAAAAACATTTCTTGGGGACTGAAATGTGTGTGATTTAGTCTGACTGAACAATAACATCAAGTCCAAGGGGCCATCATGTACCCAGGATTTCTTGTACTTTTACCTGATGGAGATTATTTCTTCATGCAGCATGAGAATTTTTTACATTTGTCCAGGATTTCTCTGTGTCTGGTAATACTATAAAGATCCACAGAGCACAGACTTTGGCTGCATACCATCTATTCAGTGAATATGATACTTTCAGAAAATACTGGACTTGCTGTGTATTTGTGATAAAGTCTGTAGCTTCACAGTGGGTCTGTGGGGATTCTTGAGGGTTTTGGATGAAAATTCTTTGAATGTACAACTATGCAGCTCTTGCTTTCTGTTCTTTCTCACATGTGTTGGACAAATAATGGGTGCACATTCACTTATATCCGTGAATTCCTAAAAATGTGATAACCTTAACCCTATGTCTGTCTGCTCACTACCTGCCTGTGCCAGGTTTGAGATGACCTGGGATTTCTACACATATTTTCCAGCACTCAGATTGACAACAGCAACATGCTGCGTGTATTTCAGTGAGGTGTTCACTCCTCCTCATTCCCAGGTCACAGAAAACTCATCTGGGTGTGAGGATTGATGAGTGCATGTGCACAGATAGAGTAAAATGCTCAGATTTCATCACTAAGGGGACAGTGCTTTACCAGGACTTTGTTTTTTCAGGTTTATCTCCCGTCCAAGTGCAAATCCATTTTATTTCAAATATCCATCCTCAGTCCTGTGTGCTTCATCCTAGATTTATTCTGGCTCCTTTATGAAGGCCAGAAAACCAAATCCAGATGCCTGTTTGGTAAATTCCTACATAACAACAGAGCAGACAAGGGTGAGACTATATGGGGGCTCTGCATGTCCCTGGGCAGTGCAGTTTTTCCTGCTCTAGTTAAGTCTTACCCTGTGGCCACCAGCTTTATGCCCTGAGATGTTTCAGCCCATTTTGGGCCAGGGTCAGGAGGGTACCTAATCACCTTGGTCCTTGGTCTTCAGGGATGGGTTTTATTCTGTGGCTCAGAATGACTCTTGCAGGCTCTAATATAATTGATTTTATTAATTTAAAGTCTATATGCAACATCTGGAGCTGACCCTGGATGTTGGCTGGGATCTGGTGAAGGGAGGTGGAGTGCTCAGAGCAGCTTACAACAGGAAGTAGCATGTTGCAACAGCCAGTTCCTTAACATGGATTTCACCTTCTGATACAATGAATTGCATAACCCAAGTGAGTGGGGACAGATTCAGTCATTCCTCTCACCTCTCTCCCATTGCAGCAGGATACAGCTGTGGCTTGCTGCAGCCTTTATGGCCACCTGCTCATGACTCCCTGTGTCATTTGCCATCTAAAATCTTATTTCTTAGCTCCCAGACACTAGCATTACCCCATGTACTTTCATTCTTTGCTCCCTTTCTTTCCTCATGGCTTTTCACAAAATGAGCACCCAGATTTTCTCTTGGACAGGTCAGGTTAATTGCAGCAGGAAAACACATGGTTGGGGTTGGGGACAGGGCTGAGTTTCAGAGCAGGGGAAGGTGTAATGTAGTTAATCATTCACAAACATGGCCCCTTCCTTTCCTGGAGCAGGATCCGGCAGAAGGTTCTTGATTCCCAAGCAGGGATCGATCGATGTGCGCACAAGGGGGTTGTTCCAAGCGAGGGCCCTCGCTGATCCCGGGTGCATCTGTCACAGGCTGACACAGGAGCAATTAGTGCTGGGCTGAATGTTTGTGCTGTTGAGTTGCTCTGGCGTGTCTCTGCATTGCTAATACCTCCTGTCTGTTTCAGTGGTGTGACAGAAAACAAGAGGTTCATTTTAGATAGATATGTTTTAATCGGGGGGTGACTATCCACATGAGGAAGTTGCTAAGGACATAAATGTAAGAAGAGTCCCACTGGATCAGACATATGCCCGCTGAGCTCAGTGTTATTTTCTAGTGGTGGCTCATAGCAAATGCCTTGGGAAGTATGTAGAAGAGGGGTAGAGTAACAGCATCACCACCCCAAGATATTCTCCCCACCTTCAGAGATTCCTGTCTCAGAGAATTCCTGAACCACTAGCCTGTATTTTCTCATCCCAAACTATTATCTGGCTACAGGTTTTTGCTTGTCTGTTTTATCCACCCCCACTCCCCACAAGTAGCTGAATGCCTTGCCAGGGTCTGTGAAAGTAACAGAGTCTCCTCCTGGATTTGGGGTCCTGTTACAGGACCTGTTACAGGAGCAGGTATTTCTTAGTGTTGGCAAAGACTTCCTTCCCAATTGTCTTGACAGGATTCTTCATGTATTTTGGTTTTGTTTTAATCTTCCTTTGCAATGCTGGGTGCAGTTCACTTGGGATCATCTGATCTGGTCTAATCCTCCCCCTCTAGAAGACAGGCCTGACCCCTTGCCTGGGGGCAGCTTGCTGTGGCCTTTTATGGGGCCTCCTATTGCACAGCCCCAACCTTTGCCTGTTGCGAAATACACCCTCAGCTCTGCAGAGGCTGGAGAGGGACAAGGTTCCTGACATCAAGTAAAGTAGCACCTTCAGTAGCCTTCTGGAGAGGTGGAAGGGGAAGAGAAACAGGGATTTTGTTCTTTTTTTCACTGTAGACTGGGAAGGGAATGGCAGGTAAGGAAAACTGTTGTAGAAAGCCTAGCTAGCATGAATGATGAAAACCAGTACCTTCCTGTACTGCGTGCTGAGATATTTAGTTGGTTTAGCACTGGCTGTGGTTGTGTACTGCCTAAACTAGCTCATCTGGCCATTCAGGTCTGGATGTCGCCCATGGACCGCATTGTCAGTAGTCCACAGCTGCATGAGCAGACAACACAGTGTCCTTTTCTGCTGGAATGTATCGATGTGAACTAAATGAATCATGGGAATCGATAGAAGACAACCAGAATGGAATGCTCTTTATGTTAGATGAGTTTAAAATCAGAAACCATTGCAGCGCTCTCTGTAGACCTCTTCCTGCAGGGTCACCCTGCAGCAGGAGGTATGTACACAGCAGATTTCCATTTCCTCAGCAAGTTCAATATCAACAAGCCCTGCCCTGAAAGGGAGGCAAACCCTGCTCCGTGGGGGTAGGGACCCGCAAAGGAACTGCCTGGGCAAGTGGAGGTGCACCCGGCTGCCTGGCATGCATGGCTCTGAGTGGGACGCTGCAAACCTGGTGATGGATCAGGTCCTATCTCTGGGCTTTGATTGCCGTGTAAGATGTTTATCCCATCGCACGTATCTGTGCATTTCATCTCAAGAGCTGCATGCAGCAGAGGAACAATTTGGGGAGAATGTACAACAGGTGGAAATGCTTAATCCACTGATCTCAGAGCAAACCTCCATGCGAGGACATGGATTTTCCATGAGAGTTTTGGGAATGTTTGCTGGGTGCCAAGAAATACCTTTCATTTAGAGCTGAAAACTATCCAACTAGACAGGGCTGAATTAATTTCTGACCCCTGTTCCAGATGGGCTGGAAATACTTAAATATGTGAATAGTGAGTACAGAAGACATAGGTAGAGTAGTTCGTACAAGGCAACTCCTCTCCCGAACACCAAACGTGCAATAGGCATATCTCTAATTATATGATTATACCCAGTTTATACCTGGTCCTCCCCCTGCAGGGAGTGTCAAAATAGTGGAAGGATGTGCTTGAGTTGCCAGATTGGAACCCCAGAGGGCTGGGCTCTGCTTTTGTTTTGTGAGATTTCCTACGTGATAGTCAGCAGAACTACAGCAGAATGTATGTACACAAGAGATTAACATTTCACGAGCAAGTTTATTATCAGCATTCTCTACCTTGATCATTTGACTTTGTAACTTTAATGTGCTATTAACATGGCTTCTTCTAGGTAATCCTTAAATAAGATCCGGGGTTTAATGAACTTAAATACATTCCCTGTTTTAAAATCTTACGTTATTTGTTCTTCCATCTGTTATAATCCTGATCCTGCAAGCACGGACTTGACTACCTGCCCTATTTTTTGTTCTCTGCAAGTCCACATTGCAGGAGCTGCTTCCATTCCCTGCTTGTTTTAAATGCTACTTCAGCCCTGACTGTCACATAGTTTCTCTTCCCTGACTGCTTCCCTGCTGGTCTGTGGTGACAAACCTCCATCTGACATTTGTTGAAGCTGAAACAGCTTCTCCATCAAGTCCACTTATTTTTTCTTTACTTTACAATTAAAAGGCCTTCTAAATTCTTCACCTATTCACTGTGCCATCACTGTAATGTGACTGCTGGTGGGTACCCCTCTGTCTCAGATTATGTCAGACTTTGGTAACTGTATTGCCTGTATTGGTTAAACTTCTTGGTCCAGGTTCTGTTTGTTACGTGGGAGTAAACTGATCCTAGCCTACAAATTTTATTGTGTTCTCCACCACTAACTTTTGGTTTAGGTACTGAAAATATACCTTGTCCTGTGCTGATACAATAATTGGCCTCCTTTTGTGTGGGTAACTAAAATCACCCATTAGACTGGATGTCTCTTGCTGGGAAGTTAACCTTCTTCCTCTGGTTAGGCAGCAGCACCATCTGCCAATGTTTGGACATTCCTACTTACATTGATCTTTGCTGCATGGTCCTTTTGACCAAGAAACCAGCTAGCCAATGGTGCAGTTAGTGAATGTGGCAAACAGTTCACATTCTGTACTCGTTTTGGCTGGGATATGGATACAGTTCTTCTAAGTAGCTTGTATGGGTCTGTGTTTTGGATTTGTGTTGGAAACAGTGTGGATAACACAGGGATGTTTTAGCTATTGCTGAGCAGTGCTTACACAGTGTCGAAGCCTTTTCTGCTCATCCCACCTCACCAGTGACAGGGCTGGGGGTGCATGGGAGGGGACACAGCCAGGACAACTGACCCCAGCTGGCCAAAGGGATAGTCCATGCCAGATGATGTCATGTTCCCCCAAAAAACTGGGGGGTGGAAGGTGCCAGGATCTGCTGTTGCTCGGGGACTGGCTGAGCACTGGTTGGTGGTGACCAATTGCTTTCTTTTGCATCACTTGTTTTTCTCCAGTTGTATTTTCCTCTTTGTTGTGGGCTTTTTTTTTTCTTACTTTTTAAAAAA